GCCTCCCGCCCTCTCCGGGCCGCCCTCCAGGACGAGACGACCTCACCCGCGCACCGGCTCTCTGTCTGCCAGGAGTCACGGCGATGTGTCACAGGGACAGCAGCTCCTAATGGCCACTGGCCTCCCAGAACCACAGGGCTCATGGAAGGAGTCAGTCCTCGGTCCCCGCAAAGCTGGAGGGCCAGCGGGCTCCGGTCTCGGGGGCGGGGGCTGACGTTTCTGGCTTTCCTTGGGATCACGGCAGACAATCTCAGCTCCCACCGCCAGCAGCAGGCCCCGCTCAGAGTCCAGTTTAGGTCGAAGTAATGGCGCTTTGGGCCCAGAGCCCAGCAGTCCAGGAAGCCGATTCCACATGGCCAGCTGCAGTTCCAGTCCCGGCCCTGGCAGCCTGAAACACGTGCCAGGTGTGTGCGTGCGTGTGAGCACATGCTTGTACGACACCCTGCAAGGACGAGAATGCAAGGGGCGCCCATCACACCGCAGACAGGGCGCCCACCCTGCCTCCGTCTGGCAATTAGCAAAGGGTGGCAAGAGTGTGTGAGAGCCGGTCTCTGTGGCAACACCGCAGGTCGCACTGTCCCGGACTCTGGTGCGGGTGCCGGCACTGTATACAGTGACGCTGACGGGAGGACGCGGCCACCGGAGGGAGAGGGTGTCTTCCCACTGGTACGCTCAAGGCGCGTCTCGGGGCAGAAGTAACGTTTGTGGTTGTCACTCTTTTTAAATATACCAACCCTGCAAAGGAGATTTTAACGCTGTGCTGGTAAGATGTCCTCACGGGGGACAACAGGACTGGTCTCCTCTCCATCCGCCCAGGACAGGCCCTGGGACACGGTCGATGCAGGACGGCCCCGCCCACTAGCAGACGCTGTGCACGGGCAGCAGAGGCCTGGCGGGGCCCTCCACACAGCTCCATGTGCTCCCCTCAGCAGCACGGACTCAGCCCGCTCTGGCCACGGCCGACAGCCAGGGGTTAAAAGCACAGGGGAGCCGTGGCATGGTGTTTAAGGCGCTCGACTCCCACATGCACAACCATGGTTCGTGTCTCAGACCTGGTGGCTTGAAAAATCACGCCAGGCACGTACGTGTGTGTGCCCAAGTCCCAGGAAACAGTGGAGGAGAAAGGTTTGTGGCGTAGCCATTCCCCCCACCCCCGGGCATGATTTCTCAAATTCTCTGTCTCTCTCTCGGGCGAGTACATGTGCCCAATGGCAAAACCTTCAAGAAAACACAGCACAGATCTTACTAGCGGGGTCTTGGGACGACAGCCAACCTTCAGTCTCCTTGTCTGCAGGGCAGAGCACAGACCCCCCGAGCAAACTGCGGTGACAGGGAAGATCTGCGAAGCAAGTCACAGAGCACGCACCCTGGGAAGGTTTCCAGAGCTGTTTCTAAAACAATGGCAGACATGAGCCAGAAGAAAGACGACCAGGAAGACGCGAGTCTTTAATGCGGAGCACCTCGGGCATCAGGAGTGCCACAGCCCTCTTCCTCCCACACCAGACACCAGGGACACCTGTGGACTTGGGCACAGTGTTCGTGGCCTTCGGTCGCGTTCTGAGCACAGCGGACGCTGCACAGGCTTAAGCTGTCCGCTACTTAAGGCAGCGTGTGAACGACGGTGCGCTTGGACACGAAACGGAAAGGCAGGAGACAGCAGAGCTTGGTGACAGCACTGAAGGGGTGATGGCCCTCCAGGAGCTGCACCCTGAGCCGGAAAAGGAAGACACAGATGCACATGCGCACACACACATGCGCACACACAGATATAAACTAGTCTGCACACGGGGCAGGGGAGCGTGTGAGGGTTCTTCAAAAGCTGTTCACAGAAAATGCATATTGGAACAAAACTCTGTGTGGGTGTCAAAATTACTTTGCATCAAAGTAAATTCAAACCTTAATTCTATTTTGTCACGAGCTTCTCAAGTCCCTCACACACACACACACAAGCACACGAGGAGGTCAAAGCTAAAAAGTTCGCTGTGCAAAAAGCCAGAGGACACCTCCTGCCCCAGGGTCCGCAGCCCTGCCCAGAGATCCCCGAGCTCCCGCACAGCTCCCGCACAGCCCCCGCTCCACCTGGAGAGCCGAGGGAGCAGGGCACATGCTGCAGGCTCAGAGCCCTGCTCCGGAAGGAGGCGCCCTTCACAACGTAGACAGGATGCCCGAGGGTGCCAGGGCTCCCCGACACCTTGCTGATCTTCCGGACACCCCGACGGACAGAGCCTCTGCCTGTCCCGGAGGGCGGAAGAGGGTAAGCGCGTCACGGGCTTCTGCAAGGCAAAGACAAGCTAAAGACGGCTCGTACCCCTGGTGCTTGGCACAGCCGGGCGAGGGCCTTGGTGCACAGAGTCCGCGCCCCCTGGTGCTCGGCACGGCTGGGTGAGGGCCTTGGTGCACAGGGTCCGCGCCCCCTGGTATTTAGTACGGCCCGGCGAGGGCCTTGGTGCACAGGGTCCGCGCCCCCTGGTGCTCGGCATGGCTGGGCAAGGGCCTTGGTGCAGAGTCTGCACCCCCTGGTGCTCGGCACGCCCAGGTGAAGGCCTTGGTGCACAGGGTCCACACCCCCTGGTGCACACAGCAGCTGGGGACAGCAGTGTAGACACAAACGCACAGACAAACCCAACGTCAAGGGCTCTGCAATTTCCTAGGACAAAAAGGAACATCACACCCACATCGTGAAAAGGCTTATGAGCCGTCGTGAGTCGAGGCAGCAAATCTGAACCTAGACGAGCTGGCTTTTCCTAGAGGCCCGCATCTGCCTCTGGACGCTGCCTCCAGTCCTGCAAATCCATGCGTGTAAAGCCTGCACCAGATGCCGCCGGCCATCGGAAAGGGCAGGAGTTAGACGTGAAGGCGGGCCAAGCCAGAGCCAGGGCTCACCACAGGAGGGAGGCGTCCAGGGAACTTGGGGTTCCCCACCATGGGGCATGGCGGTACGGACACTTTGGAGAAGACTCCCAAGGACCAGCAATCGCTGGAAGGCGACTTCCCGGGAAGCCTCCGGTGGCCGGGGCCAGGGCCGGGGCCAGGAGGAGAGCAGCAGCTGAGGACTGAGGACAGGCTGCTCTGGGTGGGGCAGGGTTTGGCACCACCACCAGGGATTTCCGAATGCCAAGGACAATGCTGGGGTCAGTTGTCCCCTGCCTGCTACCCACCCTCTCCCAACGAAGCCAAACTGATGACAGAAATTTCCAGAAGTGCTAGAAAAGCACAGGAGGGGGTGACAGGCTGAGGCCAGTGCTGAGGGCACACCCGCAGGGCTGCAGACACCGGCTGGGGCGGATGCTCAGGGCTGGTGCCAGGCGACTCTGCTCCAGGAGGGCCCAGGTAGCAGTGACGGCTGGCTCATTCAAGGCCAGGATCCACAACAGGGACATGGCGACATTTGGGAACACGTGTCACCGCGGGGATTCCAGGAAGCCACGGCCGGACCAGCAAGGCTGCTGGGAGACACACGTGGGGAAGCCCGACACAGACGACCCAGCCTGGCACTGTGGCTCCAGCGCTGAAAAGCTGGCACTGGACCAGCCCCAACCCGCAGCTGCCCCGGATCCCTGAGACACATGCCGCTCTGCACCAGGGTGCCGTCTCAGGGTCCCTTCACATGTGTCGGCAGACGAAGGCGCCTATGCAGTTCCCCACACAGTCCCTGTGTCCCCCAGGCCTCCGTGTGGGGTCCCCAGAATCCACCAAACAGATACTTTTACAAACACGAGAACAAGGCGACGTGCACACGCACAGGAGCGGCCGGCTTGGAGTGGCACCGGCAAACAAGGCACAGGGCCTCCAGGACAGCCCGAGGTGTCTACACAGCGGAAGGAGGAGGCAGAGAGCAGACGCGACGGCCAAGCCAGAGCGTCCCAGAGCTGGGCTCCGCGTCCCTCGCTACACAGCCAGGCACATGCGTGTGTGCACGCGTGCCCAGGATCTGGGAGAACGGAGAAGGCACTGCGGCCCCCCATCCCCCGGGGGGCCATTTCTTGCTTCTCTGTCTCTCCAGTGAGCATATGTGCCCTACAGCAAAAATCTCTAAAAAACAGAAACAGGGAACGCAGCCCTGGTGCCAGCGTGTCCTACGTGTTGGTTGTAATACACGGCCGACACGCAGGAGAGGGGCGCCAACGTGAGGTGGGCATGGACACGAGCCGCCGAGCCCCACCCAGCAAGGTTGGGCCACATAGCCCTGCCTCGCCCTCAACGCAGAAGGCCCGGCGGTCCTGAGAATGCTCTGAGGGCACCCACTTGTCCACCATCAGTCCCCCAGTGCGTCCTCCAGAGGAAGGTGGAGCTGGAACAATCGCGGGACTGAGTCCTGGAGGAAGGCAGCATGTGGGGACAGGGGACAGGCCAGGTGGGAGTGAAGGAGAGCACCGTGGTGGCCTCCTGCCATGTGTGCTCCCTGGAAAGTCAGCAGAGCCATGGCTAAAAGGGGGAGGCGTCCCACACAGGAGACACTGAGCAGACACTGGCCCATTCCGTCCCTGCCTCTAAACACCCCTGCCTGGTCAGCGCTCTCTGCGGTCCTCGGGAGTGGGTGCACACCCACCGTCAACCTCCCCTCCGTTCTCAGGCCGGGCTCACCACCCTGCTCTCTCCCCATCCTAAGGCTGTCAGGAAAACGCCCCACGCCCAGCAGGGAACTCAGCAGCATGTCTTTGAAGAAGAAAAGTCACAGAGAATGTTTATTATTGCTACACAGGCCCCCTGCCACGATACGGCCACTCAGCCACGTAGGGGTCGCCATCACTCCATCGGGCAGCTCTCTCCGGGACCCACGGCCGGTGCCCACATCTGGAAGTACGTGCCAGGGAGAACCGGGCCTCCCACCGGGAGGATGACCTGAGGGCCTGAGCAAGTCCACTGCCCACCACCCACGCTAGCAATGTCCCAGGGCCAGTGCTGGTTCAGTGGGGACACACGGGCCGTGGCCGACGCACACTGGAGGCTCTGGATTTGGACACAGAGAGCGACGTGCTGATACAAGGTGCGCCCGCAGAGAGCGTTGTGCTGATACAGGGTGAGCCAGGGCTGGGGTGGTCGTGGCCCAGGGCCTGGTCGGGCGCTGCCTCTGCCTCTCCGTCTGCGTCTCTCGCTCATGAAGAAACTTGACAAAGAAAGAAATGTCTCAAGACCCACACTCAAACCCCCATGTCCCCCACGTGCAGGGAAGCTGGACGTGACGCCCTACCTCAGGCGGTCTCCCCCAGGACACATGCGGGATTCCAGCCACGTCCACACTCCCCTTGTCCCACCTGACGAACACAAAGGCAGGGGTGAAGTGCCGGAGGTGCCTGAGCAGAGGCCTCCCTGCTCCCTGCTCCCGAGGGCCTCCCCACCCTGCAGGGACTAGGACTCAGGCTGGGCCAGACCCCAGGGCTCTCCGCAGACTGCCCCGAGACCGAGTCCGAGGACAGGCCCTGTGCTCCCCGTGCTGTCCCCTTCCTGGAGGTGGCGGTGCGCACTCAGGACACAGGACGCAGGCTGAGGCTGACAGAAGGGGCCTGGGCTGCACACTCGGACCTGGCGAGGTGGGTGTCTCTGTGGGCCACCAGCCCAAGTGCACCTGGTGGCATCGGGAAAGACTCCAGCCGTGTTCTAGCAACATGAGGTCCCAGGGGAGCACAGAACCAGAGGCGCACACCCACCTGCCTGGGGGGTTCAGAACAATAACGGCATGGCAAAGCTAAGTCCAGACCAGGGCCCCTCCCAGGACAGGGCAGTGCCCCACCCTCCTGGGGCTCCTCCCACGGTGGCGGTCCACCTGGCTGTGTGACACGCACACACACAGGCCCCGTGCTGCAAAGCGGGGCAGTCTGCCACAGAGTCAGTTAACCACAGCAAAGCGACTCAGTCCCACTGGGAGATGCACCACAGTCCCCACGGCCACTGGGAGCTAGGGACGCCTGAGCAGGGCTCCAACCTGCCCTTGGGGTGGACAGAGACTGAGCGTGAGACTTCCTGAGGCCACCGATCTGGACAGCCCACACCCACCCGACTGCCCGGGCCTGCAATTCAGAAGCAGAGCCCCAGCCCACACTGGCTAGGCCCCAGCAAACCTCCCCCTGAGTCAGCAGTGGAGCCCCCAGTGAGAGCCCTGGGGTCATGGTCTGAGGGGAGGCCGCCCAGTGGGCTCTGCAGGAGCCAGGGCCTTCAAGGAGAGCACTCAGGGTCCCTGGGGTCCAAGAGACAGCCCAGAATGGAGGGCCGTCAACATCCCAACCCCACCACCAAGCACTCCTCACGCTGGTGGCCACCTTAGGGAGATTGGATTAATCAGCCGCAGGATGCCTGGGAATCCGGCCTGCAGCCTGGCCAAGTTCACCTGCTTCCTGGTCACCCAGTCTCAGAGAGGGACACCAGGGCCTGGGGCCTGGGGACAGGGCGCACAGCTACAGGGCAGGGCCAGGAATGGGAGAAACCACATCCGCACGGCTGCGGGACAGAGGGGCTGCAGGACAGCGGGGCTGCAGGACAGCGGGGTAGGCTCCCAGGTCGCTGCACCGAGGGCTGGGCCCGGTGCGGCCGCCGGCCCAGGCACTCGCAGGCCCC